TTTTTTCCCTTCTCTTTTCTCTGTAAAATTCGTTAATTCCTGTTTTGGCCTCAAGAGAGTAGCAAACGTTCTTCTACAAACTCAGCTCCTGGGAGGCGAGCTGTGGCTGTGTGTTAGGTGTTATTAGCGAACATATTGGATTTCTTAAGTATTCTTCAGTATTTTGGGCGTTTTAAAAATAAGTTGAGCTAATGCTATGCCTGTGCTGTGCATTCTTTTGTTGCTTGCCCTTTCATCAAGCTGCCCTGCTGAGACTGGGCTGGAAAGCTGGCTTAGTTTTCATCTTTCTCCAGGCAACCAAAGGTCTTCAATTATTTATTTACCACTCAGGTGAAAGGAGATCACTGGTACTGGCGTAGGAGCTGAGTAGAAGTGTGTTTTCATGGAAGATGGTGAATGCTCAAAATCATGCTGTATGAAGTAAAAGCAGAGTTTACTTAAACTTGAGATAAGCAAGTTGTTTTTATTCCAGGAAAGAGTTCTTTATGCCTGGAAGCAGTTTTATAAAACTGATAACCCCAAGACTGCAGTGCTCTGTCCACTGCAGGCCAGGTAAAAAGTTAAGATGACTGTGAAGAAAAGAACCGTGTTGCATTGTCTAACAAAACGCAAACAGAGGGGGGAAAAAACCAACAGGAAAAGGCAATGTAGGAGTTGAATGAAAAGTGTTTAGTTTAAAGCTCTACTGTGGTAATAACAAGCTTGTAACTGTATTTTAGGTAAATGCTAATAGAAGATTGAATTAATGCAATCTGTTCTTTGTGTACTCCTGCTTATATTAAGCATGTGGACTTACTAAAGAAAGGGGAGCTCATCTACAGGAAAATAACCCAAAACATCAGTGAAAAGAATAGCTCAAAACCACAAGAGAGAAATCTGTGTTAGGTACCTATTATTTCCGCTAAGCATAATTAGCAGCAGCTGAACATGTAAGTCTGTGCTTTGCAATTGCAAAATTATATTGAGAAGTAAATACAGAAATTATTTTCTAAAATAGCTGTATTAAGTTACTCTGTAAGCTTGTAGGCTAAGAACTTTTTATCCCTTTTTTTAAGGGGAATAAACCAGTTTATTATAGTCATGGTCTTCATCTTAAAGATAAATTAGCTATTATCTTACAGTCCTGAAGATAATACTGTTTAAGAAGAAATTATAAATCTGTTTATAGCTTTGTGGTAGCTGAATGCTTAAGCAGATGAGAGGCTCAATTTATAGCATGTTGTAAAGAGACAGTATGTAATTTCTGAGAGTAGAAACCCTGATGTAGGTATATGTAGATACTGGTAAATATAATATGAACTTAAGCTCGTGGGTGGTTTCTTACTACTAACAGTTGTTACTAGTAGTAGCAGCCAAAAACTTTGCTGGTATGGATCTTTGCTTTAGAGGATTGAGCCTTCTGCTTTGTTTACTTTCATTTTACTAGAGGGAGCTATCAGGTTATGTTTACTTTATCATTAATATTAAGCTTTTGTTTTCTCTATCTTTGGTTCCAGTTGGTGCAGCCAAACTCCTTCTTTATTCAAAGAATAAGTGGGAAAAGTATTAAGGGCTGGTGTTTTGGATTAGAAAAGTAGGAGAGCTATCAGTCCATTGCTATTCTTTGCATCATCATCTGCATCTCTTGCATCACTGTACTCTGAGAACCGCAGTCATCCTGATAGCTGAGGGGAATGCGGTGCTTCTCTAGCTGTCTGAAGCAAAACATTTCCTACTGTTCCTAACCAGCAGTTGCTTCCTCGTTTCTCAGATGAGCAGTTCATCTCTCTTAATATTCTTTCCCCTGCTTTCCCTCCTGCATTAATACCACAAATCACCTTGTCACTTTTTACTTGCGTGGTATCAAATTTGCTTGTAGGTGCAAAAAGGAAAACAAGCAGGTAATTTCCATTCTCTGTAAGTAGGCAGATCTGGACTGGTAGTGGGGAATAATTAGTTCCTAGTGCCCATTTCATTTAACCACCAGAGGACTCTGCCTTTGGTTCTGAAACAGGTATTCCCACTGTTAGCAAAAAAACAAGAATAGAAACACTACCTCTCACCTAGCCTTGGGAGCATACAGCTTCTTTGTATGATACTAGAAGTATGCATTCATCTTTTAATCTCTGTTATATGAGATGCTCATAGAATCTCCGTCTTTGCGTTTCTGTCTTTTCTCTGACTATATTTCCACCTCTCATTGACCATGTCCTCTAAACTGTATAGCTGCCGTTGGAAGCAGGATCCTGGAGACACAGGTAAGGCTACAATCTGCTGAATTGCAGCTCCAGTGATTTTTGTAAAGAAGCTCCAAAGATAAATTTCATTACAAACACCTAAAAAATCAGGAATCTGAGGGTTTGAAGTTTCTGTATGTTTAAAGTCAGCAAATTTATGCAAATTTAGTATCCAGTAGTCCCTCTGGAAGGTGAAATCAGAATCAAAACAGACTTTCCTTGGTGTTGAACTGGAATGTTTCAGCATCTAAACCTGAACAGGTATCATGTTTTCTACAAAGCCATTAGGAAAACACCCTTTAAATTATATTTTTCAACCTATGATTTTGAGTCTTATTTAAAATATTCTATTTAAAGTGTAACACTTTCATGTAATGGTACCTTTAATGGTACTGGAACATTTTCCCCAAGGTGAATATCTGAAAAGGATGTTTTGTGCAGAAACAACCTTTTAGGAAAAACATTTTGCTCATGATAGACAGTAAAAGATCTGTATCTGCAAGGAATTTTAAATTACGACATTTGTTTTGAGCTATTTTAGGGCAGTGTATAGTGAGTGAATAGCATCTTTAGAGGATTTTTCTGCGGGAAGTTTTAATTAAAATATGCAACATTAAATAGTAATTAAGTTGTAGTAATACAGAAGGAGTAAGAAGGACCTGTTTTCATAGTACAGTTTTAATTGGTTAAAGGCTGGACATCTTTAAGTGGTTTGTTTTGGCCCACAGAAAATTTGACTGCAAATGATGGCTGGATAAATGAAGACCTGTGGGTAAATGTGAAAATGTAAGCTACGTACTCTGAGTCTAAAACAGTCTTTTACTCAGGAGCAGGAAAATTGTTTTTAGATGTGCTGGTCCTCAGGCCAACTGTTGTTTTGACCTGCCAGGATGTTCGGCCTCTCTCCAGTTGCTCAGAAACAGCTGCCTTTAGCTCCAGATAAGCATTTGCAGCTACCTTCCCCATCCCCCCCTTATGATACTCTTTCATAATTAGTACAAACTGGTAGTTACAGATGAATTTAAGATGCTTTTGTTATTGGCACTCAGACTCCAGAAGCTTTGCACAAACGAATCTATTTCTCTATATTGTGGAACAATTCCCTCTAAAGCAGAATGCATTGTTCAGAAAAACAGTATTAAATTCCTGTTGCTGCGGCATGGTCAATGAGAGAAAATACTTTTAAAGAGAGATTGCTGCTGGAAGTTTTGTGACATGTTAATACATGCTGTTGGTTATACTTGTGGATAGCAAAGTGTTTTGTGGGCTAAACTGCTTCACCTGACAAATGTGCATGAGGTGGTCTTGTTGCATTTGCCTCAATATGCTGATTTGAGTATGGATAACTTCTCTCCAGTTCTGCAAGTATGGGGAGACACAGCTAGGGGTAAAAAGGGGTAAAAGTTGTCCTTTTTCTAATCTGAATTCCGTCATTAGAAATTAATTAGTATAAGAAGTATATGTGAGTTTAAAAAGATCTTGCCTTGCCTGGAGCTTTTCATTATGGAGTCTGCCCTCAGTATCTTCTCTTTGGCTCAAGCTAGGG